GAGGGGCAGGGACTGAGCTCTGCTCTGGGACCAGGGACAGGAGCCAGGGAAGGGCTGGAGCTGTGCCAGGGGGGTTGGGATGGATCTCAGGGAAAGGTTCTTCCCCCCAGAGGGTGCTGGGGCACTGCCCAGGCTCCCCAGGGCAGTGGGCACGGCCCCAAGGCTGCCAGAGCTCCAGGAGCGTTTGGACAACGCTCTGAGGGACAGGGTGGGATTGTTGGGGTGTCTGTGCAGGGCCAGGGGTTGGACTCAATGATCCTTGTGGATCCCTTCCAGCTCAGGATATTCTGGGATTCTGTGGCTCAGGTACCCTGACAGTTGACAAAGAGCCGCAGGCTTCGCACCAGGCTGCAGTGGCAGAGCAAACCAAAAGCCCGGGCAGCCTGACTGGCTGTTGGCCACCGGCCAGAGAACATCAGAGTCATCAAGAAAATCCCTGTCCTCCTCCTCTGTGGTCTGAGAGCCACAGGCACCTCCGCAGGTCCCTCACTCCGGCCATTGCCGTCCGCTGCCTACAGAGGGAGTCGAGAGCAGCTGACACGGGAGCCCAAGGGAACCGCAGCGAAGTGAAGTCCACAGGAGGAGAAGGTCATGCACTGGTGATTAAGCAATTGTGTGAAGTCCTTCGCAGAGGTACTACCCGGCAATAAGCACCTTTGGGTCTGTCCAGAGCGATATCCTGTCTCCAGTGGTGCCCATAAGCAAACGCTGAGGGAAGAGGCAGCATGGAATACCCCCTGGCAAGTCGCTCTGCTTCAACCCTCAGCCCCCAGAATATCCCCAGCCTGTCGTAATTTGTCCTTTGGTGATGCTCAAAACATCTCCCAAGTACTTGCTCAGCCGGCTTTTATCTCCCCTTTAGCTTTCTGTAGCCATAACATCCTCGAGCACGACTCCCTTGGGTGCAGTGCCCATTCCCAGGATCCTCCTCTGTGTGCCCACAGCTCCTCACGGCCTCACTGCCAACCCCAGCCCGAGCAGTGCTGGAAGAGACAGGGAACAGTCAGTTCCTCTCCAGCGGCTTTGTGCCACTTCAGATCCTGTAAACATCCAGGATCTGCTTTACATCATCTGTCCAGGCTGGAGAATCCCAGCCTGCTCAGCAGTTCTGGCCATGGGAGCTCTGCTCTGCTCTCAATCATCTGTCACCAGCCTCAGGCCCTCCCCAAGCCCTGTGTACCCTCTCCAAGAACCACAGAATTGCTGAGGTTGGAAAAGACCTTTAAGATCACCGAGTCCAGCATCACCACCATGTTCCCCACTTATCCATGTCCTCAAGTGCCACATCCACATGCTGTTTGAACACTTCCAGGGACAGTGACTCCCCCACCATCCTGGGCAGCTTTTATATCCCTTTCTGTGAAATGTCTCAAAGACAAGAGCAACAGATCTGCATGGCACCCGTATCCTGAGCACAGGCAAATCACCATCGTTACACAAAAGAGCAGCATAATGTTCTCTGTCCTCTATATTTGTTCTTAATGTCTAAGATTTTATAAGCTACTGCTCTGCAACATCACAAACTCCAATATTTTGCTCCTGCATGGTGATGGCCAGCACAGCTGCTTATCTTCATAGTGCCATTTGTTTCCATGGTTGGTTATTTGACTGTAGAGGTGAAGTTAATGGCAACAAAGCTACTTTTTCCAGCTTCAGCATCTGTAAAATGGAAAGTCACTGGCAAAAGGTTACATTTAACCCAAAAAGTTTTAAAATTAGAAGCTATTATGACTTGAATAATTCCAAGCATTAGTTTCTAGTCAGTGAGAGGAGCCTTGAAGACAGAAACGAGAATCATCATGCCTTGTAAAGAGACTTCAAAAGGTAACAAAGTATTTGCACATTCAAAAATCCATAATCTCAAAAGTACCATGCCATAAGTGTTTAAACCCTGACAGCTTGACATCCTCCCTAGAAACAGGATTCTGTCATTCGAAAAAAAAGCTAGATCTACATTGTGGGTTTGACTTCAGTTTATTATCAGACTTAGTTCTTCAAATAAACCAAACCTTGAAGTGCAGGCATCCTCTAGAGAGCAAGGGAACACCTTCAAAAATAAAGTAATGCAGAGGTGAAGCTCCTGTCACTTTGATGAAACAGAAACTATTTAATCCCATTGGTTTTTACACAGCACTGGTTTTAAAAGCTGTTTTAGAGCTTTTTCTTAGAGGCAGGGAAGCAGCAAACATAAAAACATCGAGTGCATGAGCTCAACCCATAAAGTAGGGAGAAATTTTTCTTGGTTGCTGTCAGGTAGATCCTGAAGCATTGTGATTTCACAGGATACTGACTTTCTTCAGGAGCTCACTGCTCACCTGGTTCAAAGTGCATTGAACCTTTTCCCACACCACATTGTAGGGGCAGTAACAGCCACTGCACTGATGGGGCAAATCAAACATTTTTAGGTATGGTCAGTCATGCCCTTCTCCACAGGTTGTGGGTAACTTTTTGTTGATGTAAGTGAAGTTTGTGAAGATCGGGCCATGAATGTATATTTTAGTGATGGGATTTAACAAAGACTCTCTTAGAATTTTGAAATACATCCTCGAAGTATGAAGACACCCAAAGTCTGAGAACACAGTGATTCCGTGGTGCTTCATGGTTCCACAGTGGTGATAAGAGACACTTCAGGCTTGTTCAAGTGTCATAAATGTTCAACTCAACTAATTGCACCACAAACCACAGGGGATTCCATAGGCATCATGGTGCTCCTATTGCCACATTTTCTGTGTTTCAGACCATGAAGAATACACAAACCTCTGGCAGTGAAAGGGAACCATTCATGTCACATGTATTAAAACCACAGAGCACTGTAATTGTTGTCCATCCCCACCGTCTCAGAGCCAAGGCTGGCAGCAGTATTGATGGACTGCCCTTGTTCCTGTGTGGAAACTCAATTTGTGGCTTCACAAGGCAGTTACATCACTGTGAGTGTTTAATCCATATATGAACAAGTCAGAAAGTCTATTTTCATGTGTTTGGTTTTGTGTCAATAAACCACAGACTGGTTTGGGTTGGAAGGGACATTAAAACCCATCCAGTGCCACCCCCTGCCATGGGCAGGGACACCTTCCACCAGCCCAGGTTGCTCCAAGCCCTGTCCAACCTGGCCTTGGACACTTCCAGGGATGGGGCAGCCACAGCTGCTCTGGGAAACCTGGAACAGGGCCTCACCACTCTCACAGCCAACAATCCCTTCCCAATATCCCATCTATCCCTGCCCTCTGGCACTGGGAAGCCATTCCCCCTGTCCTGTCCTTCCATCCCTTGTTCCCAGTCCCTCTCCAGCTCTCCTGGAGCCCCTTCAGGCCCTGCAAGGGGCTCTCAGCTCTCCTAGGAGCCTTCTCTTCTCCAGGTGAACCCCCCCAGCTCTCCCAGCCTGGCTCCAGAGCAGAGGGGTTCCAGCCTTTGGAGCATCCCTGTGGCCTCCTCTGGACTCTCTCCAGCAGCTCCACGTCCTTGTGCTGTTGTTCCCAGGGCTGGAGGCAGCTCTGCAGGGGGGTCTCACCTGAGGGGGCAGAGGGGTAGAATCCCCCCCTCTCCTGCTGCCCATGCTGTGGGACCAGCCCAGGGCACAGGGGGTTTCTGGGTGCCAGCACACGTGGCCAGGCAGGTCAAGCCTCTCATCCTCCGACATCCCCAAGTCCTTCTCCCCAGGGCTGCTCTCAACCCATTCTCTGCCCAGGCTGTGTTTGTGCTTGGAATATTTGATCTCAAGGCTAACAGGTCGTTTTCAGACAACATTCTTAAAGCACACATCAGGCTTTTCATACCTCACTCTACTAGTTCATACGTGGACATTTGAGTGGTAGGTTCTGCCAAACATTCCAAAATTCAGAAAAAATAGGTGCTTTCCCAAAGCCTTTAGGGACACAAAAAAAGTAAGTCGATCAATGTGTTTACCATCCATTTTACTACTGCTTAACAACGTCCTGGAACTTCCAGGCCTGGAAGAGGATGAGAGTGTTAAAGGAACCAGAGGTCTGGGACTGCATTACAGGAAACCTGGGGCTGAGCCAGTGAGATGTGCATCAGGATTGGAGATTATAGAAATCATTATCAAAAATTCTACATTTTAATTGCAATAGAAAATTAACAGCTCACTGGACAGATAGAACTACTCTACAAATTCATTCACATCCAGAATAAAACCACACACAGCCACAAGCTTCATAAATTATGAGCTTGGAATAACGATGACTCCTGGCAACCAGGAAAGCTTCTGGCTTGCTTTCCTTACATTTTGTTGTTTGTCTGTTGAAATCTTTTACCCACTGCTACATTTTAAAGGAGATGATTTTAGAAAATAGGCTAATAGATAGTGACTGCTGCACAACAAACAATGTGGGGGAACACATACAAAGGCCATTAATACATAAAGGAAAAGGGAAGTCAAAGAAAGAGTAAGGGAAAAATCAGCTTCAATAACAGGTTATAATAACTGCACATTTAAATTGAGCTAAAACATTTCCACATCCGTCCGCAAATGATTAAGTGTGGCTGGTTTAATTAGAGCAGCTCAGTGCAGAGAAACCTGAACCAACATGTTCCACAGCCAACATGCTGCTGGCAGCAGCGACCTGTGCTGCCTCAGAGCTCAGCACGGTGTGTTCTGCATCAGCCTGAGAAAATCCATAGAAGTTCTCTTACAGATCACTGGAAATATAAATAGGGGTGATCTTTCTGCAGTGCAAGGAGAGATAGACATGCCCTAGGTGATAGAATTCACCTCACAAGTGAAATGACAGCACAGACAGAGTGAAAACAGCAGCTACAGGTAACCACAGGTAAGGTGACTCCTGTGGGAGTGAAGTGGGAAGGGTGAGTCTATCCTTCTGCAAACAGCCAGGAGAAGGGGATACCAAAGAAGACTAATTGCTCCAGACAGGTGGACATTACTCCTCCTCTGGGGAGAAAATGACCCTTGGAACAAAGACAAAAGCACCAAGGATGGGGTAAAAGGAAGAGTAAGGAGAGCAAGCACAAGGGAACACCAAGGAAAGGAAAACCAGACTTACCCAGAAGGATGCTGACAGTGGAGAAATACGGGGAGCCCTACAGTCTGGGTGATGAGGACACAAACCCAAAGATGAGGGACTGAGGAGTGTCTGTAAGCAAAGCCTTGGGACAGCGCTGGGGCATGTGTGGAGAGAGGTGGGGACAAGCCAGAGGATAACGGAGTCCAGGGGCTGAGAGCCTGAAGAGACCAAGTCACAGGAGGGTGAAGGTGGTCTCTTAATGGTGAGGAGAAATCTGAGAGCAACATGAGACCCTGAAGGAGGGAAAGACATTCAACACGGATGGGGCAGGAAGGGATGGCTGTAGGGGCCAGGGAACATTTCCACAGGGAGATCATAGACCCATGGAATGGTTTGGGTTGAAAGGGACCTTAAAGATCATCCAGTGCCACCCCCTGCCATGGGCAGGGACACCTTCCACCAGCCCAGGTTGCTCCAAGTCCCGTCCAACCTGGCCTTGCACACTTCCAGGGATGGGGCAGCCACAGCTGCTCTGGGCAACCTGTGCCAGGGCCTCCCCACCCTCACAGGGAAGAATTCCTTCCCAATATCCCATCTCACCCTGCCCTCTGTCAATGGGAAGCCATTCCACCTTGGCCTGTCCCTCCATCCCTTGTCCCAAGTCCCTCTGCAGCTCCCCTGGAGGTGCTTTAGGCACTGAAAGGGGCTCTCAGGTCTCCCTGGAGCCTTCTCTTCTCCAGGTGAACACCCCCGGCTCTCTCATACTCAACAAGGACGGGAAACCAGGTCAGTGGCAGCTGCCTAGGACGGTCCAGCACCGCAGTACCTCCGTGCCCGGGGTCAGAGGCGCGGGGGGGGCGGCGAGACCGAGCGGGCAATGCCCAGAATGTCCCATGAAAACCCCGCTAAGCGCTGGCGGTGCCGCCATTTCACCCTGAGGGCGCGGGGGGGGGGCGGGCAGGGGCGGGGCCCATAATGGGCCCGCCCCCCCGCGGCTCCGCCGCTCGCGGCCGCCATTTCACACCCGCCCGGGGGCAGCGGGCGTAGCGCGGGCCGGACCGCCCGGCGTGAGGGGACAGCGGGAGCGGCGTCACCGGGAATGAGCGGGGCTGCTCGCCGGGGCCTCGCAGAGCCGGCCGGGGCTGCGGAGCCGGCACTGCCCTGTGCGAGTGTGCCCAGGGGCGACCGCTCACGGCTGTGGACCGGGAGAGCGCTGAGGCGGCTCCTGGAGCCTCCCTGGAGCCTCCTGTTCTCTGTTCGGGGTCTGCGCTGTTCGGAAGCTCAGCATCCATCCATCCATCCATCCCTTCCCATCTCATCTCTCCTGTAACCTGGAGTTCCTAACAGGGCACTCGGCTGGTTCAGCTGGAGCAGAGGAGACTGAGGGGAGACTCCTCGGGGGCTGCAGCTCCTGCCCAGGGGAGGCAGAGGGGCAGGGACTGAGCTCTGCTCTGGGACCAGGGACAGGAGCCAGGGAAGGGCTGGAGCTGTGCCAGGGGGGTTGGGATGGATCTCAGGGAAAGGTTCTTCCCCCCAGAGGGTGCTGGGGCACTGCCCAGGCTCCCCAGGGCAGTGGGCACGGCCCCAAGGCTGCCAGAGCTCCAGGAGCGTTTGGACAACGCTCTGAGGGACAGGGTGGGATTGTTGGGGTGTCTGTGCAGGGCCAGGGGTTGGACTCAATGATCCTTGTGG